TTGAGGCTTTGGGACTTTGGCAGGGGTGGGGGTGGGGGGTGAGCCGAAACGTGATCCTCCCGTCCTGGGCGACCCCCCAGATGGGGAGGCTCGTCCTCTTTGCAGTTCGCATTATCAGAAGGGACGGTGCCTCTGAGCATGTGCAGAGTGCATTTCACTGTGGCGCCCCCGCCCCCCCCCAACCGATCTGGCTGCGCCTTCCAAAGAGGCGAGCCCCAGACTGAGAACTCCAGCACAGACTTTCCCGTCCGCCTTTCCTTAACTTCGGCACCGCAGCCCTTTTTCCCGCTTTGCTTCGCCCATCGCGGGCGTCTGAAGTCCGAGCATTTCGGGACGCGATCCCGGCGGCCGAGCGTCGCTACCCTTGCCACGCCACCGAGGTGATGATGATGGTGGCGGCGTGGCGACGTGACCAGATGTCCTCCTCTGTCCCCTGAAGGCAGGGGCAGATGGACGGGGGGGGGGGGGGNTCGCTGGCGGGCCGGCCTCCTTCCGACCTGCTGCACCTGCCTGCCTGTGGACGTGTAGGCGCTGCGGTGCCAAGCGATGAGCGGGGCGCTCCCGAGGAAGGCCAACGCGGGCTCGCCCCGGACACCTTATGGGAAGTTCACGGGCTGATCCTCCTCCTCCTCCTCCTCTGCCTGTTTTTATTGGAGGGGGGGGGGAGAAGGAAACTGCACGACGAGAATTTCCAGGCCGATCTCGCCCCAGGAATAACAGTCTTCTTGAAATCCCGGGATTCCTAAATGGAATCTCCAAGCCAGGAAACGAGGGAGATGTGCTTGGTAAAGTTGACATCAGAAGATGCCAAGTTGTGAGGCTACACAGACGAATTCGACAGTTGTTATTAACAACGATACAAAGTTGGAGATGGGGGGGGGGCGGAAAGCTTCTTCAATTCTTGTTTCATTAACAAAATGTGCCTTTCTTGAATTAGGTTAGAAAGCCACCAGTTCGATCCCAGTACTCTCCCTCTTCTTCCCTGTCCTCTCCTCTTTTTCTTTCATCTTGGTCCTTCTCTTCGTCCTCCCTTGTACTCATTCATCTTGCACCCACGTTCATTTATTTCCCTCTCTGCTCCCTCTTCTTTTCTTCCCTCCCACCCAGCAAACTCTTCCTCTTCCTTACCAAGCAGCAAGAACTTCTTTTTCTTTCTTAGAGCTGCCATATATTAGTTCTCCAAATCCAGGCAACCACGTCTGCATATTATGCACATAATTTATCTGTGCAAATCATGCATATATGAAAGGTTTGGCAAGCACACACTCGGGCACACATGTGCGCGTGCGCACGCACGCACGCACAAACACACACACACACACACACACACACACACACACACACAAACTTCCACTCTGAATTATTATATAAAGAGGAAACAGAAGACTGGGTTTTCTGGGATTTTTGTGTGTGCAGACATGTGGGAATCTCACAACTGTTGGTATGCTGTGTGAGATATCCAGAATTACCCATCTGCAATTTTGCTCAGCCTCATGTCTACACCCATCTGCACAATGAGAACAATCCTCCAGACCTGGACTGAGTTCAAAAGTTGCTTTAAGGATTATTGGGCCAGTAAAGGAAAACCTGGAGCTAAGAAAAATTACCATTTTGGACTGGAACTTCCCTAATTCCCAAGCCATCAGGGCCAATTCAGAAAAATAACTTTTCCCAGTTCTAGATGAGGGATTCAAGCTTTTGAATGCTAATTATTAGTGATGGTTCTATGGAATAACAACAATGATCGATTCAAACAAATGACTGTTTGGAGAACCCTTCCTCTGAGAAACAAACAGAAATGGACCTTAAGATCTTTTTTTTAAAAGTCCTTTAATACTATAAGTTAGTCATGCCGACTCAGATGTAAGTACCATTGTGTTTAATGGCATTTACTCCTTATGTTGTGTCAGATGGACTGCAGCCAAAAAAGCAGTAAGAATTATAAAGGGAGGCTCTACTCTATTTTTTCCTCACCGTAGGGACATTTTTAACTCCCTCACATGGTCCTAGCACAGCAAATATGTGATTAAAACAAAAGCCACTTGCCTGTAGAGATTATTGAACTGTTCTAGCATTTACAATTGAAGCCTGTCACTTTAACTCTTTAATAGCAATTACATTCAACATGGCTGCACACTGTGTGTGTGTGTATATATGCAGTGCTGGTATGAATGGCTAAATACAGTGAGTGGCAGTAGGAGGGGTTTTTTTGTAAAAAAAAACTCAGACAGAATAGGGATTGTGGAGTTTTTCTCATTATACAAAAGCTAAGTATATCAGGTGTATCTGTACTACACACCTGTATCAGTTTCATGCCCCTTTAATTGTCCTGGCTTGCTCCACTCTGAAGGTCCTTAGGTTTGTTGTTTGGTGAGGGACTTGGAATTCTATCCCAGAGTGTTCTCATCAACTCCTCTGAACTACAATTACCCTGATCTCCACTGCAAAATTACACTGAGTCATTAATACCTCTGTTCTCAGAGTAAGGTGGAACAGTCTAAGTTACAAATCCCAGAATTCCTTGTGATGGAACCATGGCATTTAAAGATATATGAGCAGATATGACAGTAGTATTGAGAAACTTTTACCTTCTTTTTAAAATGAAAATAGTCCGGGCCATTTAAATAGCCATCAGATAGCATGGCCAGAATCCAAGTACAGTCATGGCCAAAAATATTTTCACCCTTGCAATTAAATGCAACCCTTTTCTCAGAAAAATGTTGTAGTTGCAAATGTTTTGGTACTCACATGCTCATTTCTTTGGTTTGCGTTGGAACAACACACACACACACAAACAAACAGAGAAGAAATGTCAAATCTGATTCAATCCCACACAGAAACCCGAAAATGCACTGGCCAAAATTATTGGCACCCTGTTTAAATTGTTAAAAAGAATTGCTTTTCAAGCATGTGAGGCTCCTTTAATTTGTATTTAGACACACTTCTCATTCTTTTGCCCCAGACCAGTTCTTCCTAAACTTGGATCCCCGTATGTTCTTGGGACTACGGTTTTCAGAAATCCTGACCAGCACAGCTAATGGACATACTTGAAGCCAGAAGGAAGGTCTACCAGGCTGATGAGTTACCTAGAAGAGGTGACTGGGGTGCTCTAAAATAACAGGCTGGCTGTACCTACCTTCCCCCACATCAGTGAATATTTGGACTAAAGCTAACAGACCCTTACTCATGTGGGGAGCTCTTATTCTGGAAGAGACTAGTCTACTGATGACGGGCTCAACCGATGGCACTGCAGGGTCTAGCAATTTTTAATTAAGTAAACTCAATCCGTTCCTTTAAAAACAATATAACCTTGCTGTTCATGCCCTCAAAGTCCCCTGAGAATGCAAGCTACATTTCAAGTGTTTAGATGTAATGGTCTTGGAGCAATGGTGGAGGACACACAACTTTTGTTATTATGGGTGCATTAAACTTTTGGATGCCAGTCAGAAAAAAAACATTGTAAAGATGTCCACTATGTAACTGTCTTCTAGGGTTGTGTCTGGCCAGGGACAGCTGAGCAATGCAGTGGTTCTATTATAGCTCAATGGCTGAGAATTATTATTGTTGTTATTACCATCACAGTCATACTGTTTAACAACCCTGCAGTACATTGTATATCCTTTGAAAGCCTTTTAGTGGCCTATTGGTAGCAGGATTAGGATTAGGCATGGTTTTTAATCAGCTGTCTGTAGAAGGAGGGCTTATCCCTTTTCTCATTGTTTCCCCCTAAAATATTCAAAAGGAAAGGAACTCACCCTGATTCCATGCCTGTGGTACTTTATAAACCTGGCACCATTCAGACCTTGCCTAAGGAGATAAAAGATCATTTTGCATTGGCTGTGGCTCACTAGTGTTCATACGGCTCTTTTTCTATGTTAGTTCTTGTAGGGAAACTGCTTTCTAGTTGTTGCTGCCACGCATGACTCATCCATTGATTTTCAAAGCTAGGTAATCTAAGACACACAGGGACAGCCCTAGGCAATTTTAGACAATGGATTTATTTGTGTTATCATTTGTTTAATATTTAGAGAATAAGCTTCCATGAACACAGTGGGACTTACTTCTGCTTAAGCATATATAGGATTGCATTGTGTGGTTTCATACTTTTTGCATGTCTGTTGTTCACATTCTTTTGAAGTAGACTCTTGTACATCCAGAGCAGCTTTCTCCAAGCAGCATGGCCATTGTTGTCCAATATATCTGGAGGGCATCAGTTGTGGGAAAGCTGGAGCAGGGGGTGTTATAAACAAATAGAAGCAATATATTTTATTGTTTGAACCAGTGGTTCCCAGCCTTGGGTAACCCAAGTGTTCTTGGACTGAAATTCCCAGAAGCCTTCATCACCAGTTGCATAATATCATGTAATAATCTTGGTCTACCGAACTGGCTCCCACCCAGGTTTAAAAGATATCTTGTGTTTTTAACTGTACATTAAATAAAGTTTTGTTCATGTTAATTGTTTCTTTTAAAACTCAACTGAAGTGCCTAAAATCCTTTTCCTTTTTCTGTCTTTTTCAGCAAGTGGAGAAGTCAAAGAAACCTTTGCTAGAGCTAGAAATGGAAAATACAGGTTTTTAAAAATAGTGATTGAAAATGGTACGTGGTGTTTTCTTTCTCTTTTGTCTTTTTTCAGTGGAAAAGTAAAGGATGAACAAATTAACAGTTCTTGAGATCCTGAAACCAAGGCTACCCGTTCTCTTCAGACAAGCTTTCGCTTGGTGAATGGCTGCCTGAGTGGGATTTTTAAATGGATTGTTATGCATTACTGCTTTGACTGTTTTTAGTGTTGCTTTTGTTTACCATTTCTCAGAGTGGTATTTGTTTGCTCCTTTTTAATGTTTATATTCTTCTTGCTACTAGCTTTGAAATGGGCTTCTAATTGTGTAAGCCGCCTTTGTGGCTTTCAGTGTTGCCTTTCAATGATGTAAGGCATCTTAGGTCCTTTTTAAGGAGAAAGGGGGGTTAAAAAAATTAAGTAAATTAAAATAAATAGGAATTTCTTGTATTTTAGCTACTTCAATATTGCATAGTTGTACAAAATCATACAGTAAACAACAGCACGTTAGTATGTACATCTACTCAGTCATAAGCCTCAACGTGACTCATTGCTCCCATGTAATCCTTTATCCACTTAGCTAGCAGTAAGTCCCATGGAACTGATGTGGGTTACTGCTGAGTAGATATATATAGAATTGCACTACAAGACTAGGTCTTGCCTTGCTCGGAGGATATAACTTTCAGACTGAAGAAGAATGAGGGGTGTCACCAGCCTGGTGCAAGGGTAGACCTTTACTTCTGTTGCCTCTTGTCTGTTTTGTCAATCGCTTGTTACAGATACAAAATGGCCATTCGTTTTTTTAATGTTAAACTGATTTTACTGCTACATGAGATCAAAGTCTTTACTGATACACAAATGATGGTCTCAAGAAAATGAGAACAGGGTGCCCTCCATGTTTCCCTGTGTCTGCCAAAAGAACCCTGGTAAGAGGAGCAGCAACAGTGCCCTGGACCATGTCTCCTAACTGCCCTCTCAGGAGTAACACCAGCTCCTCTCCTTCTGAGTGCCACCCATTTCCTTCTTAAAGTGTCACTGTTACTCTGGCTTGGCCAGAAACCTGTGAAAGACATTCCGAGTTGCACTTTGTGGTGCAGGACAGTCTGCCAATTCCCCGAACTGTAGGCAAACTGCAGTTGCTGTCAGATTTTGCCAGCAACTTCAGTGTGTTTTGTGTGTGTGTGTGTGTGTGTGTGTGTGTGTGTGTGTGTGTGTGTGTGTGTGTGTGTGGACGGACTCCAATGGATGCCAGCATAACTCTCTAGCCCAGTGGTTCCCACCGTGGGTAACCCAGGTGTTCTTGAATTGTAAACCCCCAGCCAGAAGGTTTCTGGGAATTGCAGCCCAAGAACACCAGGGTTGGGAACCGCTGCTCCAGCCCCAAATAGCTGCCTCCCCCTAATTTGCAAATGCAAATAATGGAATATATTCTAGTGAGATAAATACCTGGCTTAGCAGTCTTTTGTCTGTCAGCCGGGGACACATGGCCTACTGATTTAGGTTTAGTGGACATTTAAGATACCATAAACATTATTATTTATTAGCATTTCTAAAATGTGCCATCACTTTTCAGCCCTTGGCAACTCATTCATTAAACCAAAACCTTGTAGGCTCCGTTTTATTTCATTCTGGCCGTGAACATAAAACTCATTTGTTTGTAAATCAAAGTTGTAATTGTAGCTCAGAAAATACAGCCTGCTGCTGCGTTCATGTTTTGTTCCAAAGTTGACAAAGGGTGAATTATAAATGTTTGCTCACCACCCGTCCCATCGATCACATTAAATTGCTTCTTTCTTTTCATATTTGTATATAACTATAAAACAAGTGGGGGGGGTAATTTACAAATATTCATAAATAAACCCTAAAACACAGCTATAAATATCACTGAAAATAAATGAATCAGGCCATCTGCCTGCTATTATGGAATTAATAAGCTCTAGCTATTATATGTAAACAATTTATGGCTCTTCCTCCTTTTTCTACTGTGGATGAAGCTAGTCAAGCTTTCACCACAGGTAGAACTATCACATACTTAGTAGTCTTTGAGCAGTTATTTAATGACATGCAATTGCATTTGTTTGTTTGTTTATTAATTTATTTATTTATTGCTTTTGACAGTTATGTTGCCATTACTGCCTTCTATATTTCTACAGAACAGCTTATTGTGGGATGTTCTAAAAAACCTCATGGATCTTGGGAAGAAGACTACGATGCCTTTGTTCTCCCACTCCTTGAAGACAAACAACCATGCTATATCCTGTACAGACTTGATTCTCAGAATGCCCAAGGATATGAATGGATCTTTATTGCATGGTCCCCAGACCATTCTCCCGTAAGTAATAGGATGGAACTCCTAATGACTGCAATAACATGGAAATTGGATTCCCCCCCCCTTTTTTTTTAAATTGGGCTTTAAAATTATTTTTACATGGTAAATTACACTTCCAAGGCTTCAGAGGTGATTCTGGGGCTAATTGTTCTCAGATGTCTGAAAAGCACTGAGGGAGGTGGAAGAGCCTCACCCTGCAACCTCTGTCTTAAAGCATACTGCGTTTAGAAGACAAAGTGCTGAACTCTTGCATTCCAGTTTCAACTGGAATGCAAGATTCCGGATTCCAAGGTATCTTTCACTGAATGAAACAGACTTGTTAAAAAAATTGTGAACTGAGATTAAGGAAGATCCAGCAAATTCACTGCCATGCCTGCACAAAAGCCTAGGCCTGGCTGTAGCTCCAATTCTGATCCCAGGCCCTGTTTTTTAGAAAATGTGGTTAAAATAAATATTGTATTTTTGAATATTTTTTTTCCATCTCTCTCTCATCAGAAATGTAGACACTGTGATTTTTAGCTCTGTGGGGAACTAACTGTTATACACAGTGGTGCTTTGCTTAGTGATTGCTTCGTTTAACAAAGAATTCACTTAACGATGTGTTTCTTGGAGGAATTTTCCGCATCGTTTAACGATGTTCTCTATGGGGGATTTTCCCTTAACGATGTCCGTTTTTGCTCATTTTTAAGTGTCTTAAAATGTTTGAAACCTGTTTTAAATGCTTGGAATCGTTAGTGCACCTTGTGAAACCTATGCAAACTTAATTTGGCTTTCTTCTGAGTCTTCGTTAATTTTTGGTGATTTTTTGTTTTCCCCATTGAAATCCATTGAACTTACATGCACCACTGTATAACTTCCATTTTATTTGGTATGAAAAATGCATACATACACACAAACCTGTCTCTTTTATAACTTAACCAGGTTCGTCAAAAAATGTTGTATGCAGCTACCCGGGCAACGTTGAAGAAAGAATTTGGAGGTGGGCACATAAAAGATGAAGTATTTGGAACAAACAAGGTGTGTATCCTGGAAAGAGCAATTTGTTAGAGTTTGTAAGTATGGGGGGGGGAGAGGGAAGCTGTCCCATTTCCCTGTGTAATGAAAAAAAATTAATCACTTATGAAACTACAATTTTGGGCGGGTCGCAAGTATCTCAGCGGGAAAGCTTGAGAGGTAAAATTGGAAACTAACCACACATGCAATCTGCTTTGGGGTTTTCAGGAAGATGTCTCCTTGATTGGTTACCGAAGACACCTGGTGACTCAGTCCTCACCTGCCCCTCTGACAGCAGCAGAGGAGGAACTTCGACAGATCAAAATTAGTGAGGTATTTCACCCTGGCTTGGGAGTTAGCAGTGCTTTGCTAGAGGTTTTGAAGCAGAAGCTGGATAGCCGCCTGTCAGGGATGATATAGCAACACATTTCCTGGGTGCAAAGGGGCTGGACTAGATGGCCTTTGAGGTCCCTTCCACCTCTACAACTTATGAAGTGTTGACCAAAAGTCAGAAGCCAAATGTAGGTCAGAGTGGATTAGGCATCTGGCTGCAGAGTTCAAGTCCTCACTACCCTCCTTGACAGAGGCTGCACTCAATATCCATAGGGCCCCTTCGAGCTCTGCAGTTCTATGATGATAACATTTTCTAGGGGATCAAATGAATATAGGAAGCTGCCATGCTATTCGTCATCTTAGTCTACGGTTGTCAACTCTGACCAGCAGCCCCTCTCCAGGGTTTCAAGCACGACGCTTTCTTAGCTCTAACTGGAGATCCCCGATATTCCCTGGTGGGCGGCCCTCTATTCATTAAGAGGCCTTACTGGCCTGATCTGCTTTCATTAAGTTCAAAGGGAATTCCAAAGCAATATGTTATGCACAAGCACTGAATTTACAGGCAACAAATTGCATTACAATATATTACATGCATTTGTGTAGTTGTGCCTAAAACCTGAAACAAGGGTCCTACGGCAGATTTAAAGCAGTCCTCTTTGAATAGTTGAACATTGGCCAGAATCCTATTAGTCAGCATCCACTGGCATAACTTAATCAGCATAAATCTCAGCGCTCAAGATAGTAATATGGCCTGCCCATTCATTTTTCTACAACCACTACCTTTAGGTTGAAGCAGGGCCTTTCTTTTCAGTTGTGTTCCAGTTTTGTGTGCAACCTCTTTTTAGGAGTACTTTATTTTTTAATGGAGAAAATTCTCATAAGCTTCTTGTTAAGAAAGGATGTAATAGCTGAATGAGTATATAAAATCTGAAATTGAATGATTCTGCCGTTTCTGTTCTTTTTCACTTCTGCACATCCCATATGATCCCACTCTTGAACAGAGCACAAAATATGCTTCTTTCTAAGTTGTTTGTCTTTTCAGGTACAAACTGAAGTAAGTGTTGATACTAAGCACCAGACTTTACAAGGAGTAGCATTCCCTATCGCTAAAGAAGCTCTCCAGGCTTTGGAAAAACTGAAAAACAAACAGCTAAACTATGTGCAACTGGTAAATACTGTATATGCTCTCCCTCTTTGAATGTAATCCTGATGATTTGCTGTTTTTGGTGTTAATATTTTGTTTTAATGATGTAAGCCATCATCGATGACGGGGTAAAAATATTTTAAATAAATAAATGAAAATGCTACCGATGGAAGGTTCTTTAATCCACTGGAGGATTCCAAGAGCAGAATTGAGAGGGTGGCCATTTTTGCGCTTCTTGCCAGTAGTCACCACACACACCATCTGCTCCAAAGGGTTCAGAGCAGTGTGGGAGGTGGTATGAGGGGCTCTTGGAAAGTGAGGGTGAATCATCAACATGAATAAAGGAGCCGTAACCTTGGATCCAACCCTTTGTTACTTGTTTCAGTGATGAATTAGACCACATACAGATACCCGTTTTGCTAAGTCAGTTGAATGAAATTATACCATATGCATACTCTGTGTCAAGCAAAGTTTATATGTGTTTATAGCAAATTGACATGAAAAATGAAACAATCATCCTGGCTAGTACACTTCTGACTGAGGTGAAGGACTTGCCCAAACGAATTCCGAAGGACTCTGCACGGTACCATTTTTTCCTCTACAGACATTCCCATGAAGGAGACTACTTGGAATCTGTAGGTACGCAAGTATTTTGCGGTACAGGTTTGGATAGACAGCTGGGATGAGTAGAAATGGCTCACCTGGGGGTGACCTTATGATGAATTCAGATCGCTACAACATTTATTTAGTTTTTCCATCTTCTTTAAAAAAACATCAGCTAAAGAATGGGATGGGTTCCAAGCCCCTTCCCCCAGATGGATTCCAAAAAGCCTGGGTAAAGAAATGCTATATATGGCATAATCTCTTGCTCCCTCTAGTGCAGACCTGGGCAAGGTGTGGCCCAAGGGCCACATACGGCGCGCGAGCCGCTCCTGTCCGGCCCACCAGTCGTCGCTCCAGTCTGGTGTTCAAGCACGTGTTCAAGCCCAAGACAGACTGGATTTCTCTCACTGAACAAGTTGAACATCAAATCATTTATAGCTTTTTGTCTAAAGTTGATCAGTTGTTTATCTTTTATTTTTAAGTAAAGTTGGTGTGGCCCCCGAACACAGTTCAGATTTTTCATGTGGCCCCCTATAGAAATTAATTGCCCACCCCTGCTCTAGTGGCCAGTTCTGGCAATACACCTTAGAAATGCATATTTCTGGGGGTGTTATTTAACGTTTCCAGGCAGCAGACTGTGGGTACTGATCCCATAGATACAGCAGTCCTATTGTAGAATTCGTTTAGGCTTTACAATAAAAACTATATTGATAAGGATGCAGAATATGGTCTTAACTCCTGAAACCATTCCACAGTTTTTATCTACTCGATGCCTGGCTATATGTGCAGTATACGAGAGCGAATGCTATACTCCAGCTGCAAGAGTCCCCTCCTAGAAATCGTGGAGAGACAGCTGTGGATTCCAGTTATCCGAAAGGTAAGGATGCAGATTCTCTTCCCCTGTTTCCAAGGTGACAGCCCTCATTTAGATCACACATGAAAACATTAGTTCTTTGGGCTACAGCATCCTCAGCCAGCATTGGAGTTATAATCCAAAAAAGGCAACTTTTCCAATGTTCTGACATTTTACCTGAGATATGGGAATTCTTGTTAGTTCTTTGGGCTACAATTGCCAGCATCCTCAGCCAGCATTGGAGTTACAATCCAAAAAAGGCAACTTTTCCAATGTTGTGACATTTTACCTGAGATATGGGAATTCTTGATGTCATTCCCATTCTCAGGCCTCATGAGGCTGGATCTAAAGAATTGTGAAGAAAGCGACATTACTACATCCTTTGTACATGTGCGCAGGGAATAGTGAAAGTGTAACATCCTTGCAGGAATAGCGTATCTTTTGATTTTGTTCCACTTCTTTGGTGCAACGTTTTAGTGTGACAGCAACTTCCTGTGGGTAGAGGGCTGCATCAGACACGCACACCCCAAACCCACTGGGCACTGCCTCCTGCTTCCGTCCTGCCCAACCTCTATTTTCTTATGTTAATACAGAATCATACTTTGGGGGAGTGGAATTCTGCTGTCAAACAAGACATATGCTCCCTGTGCATCATGTTCTCGAACCAAATTGTGCTTTTTTGTGGCCACACCACCACCAAAATGTAATGACACTGGCAAAGCTGAAAGTGGCAACGGCCACAAGAAGGGTGACCACTGCCTATCTGCCCTTCAGCTCTAGTGTAAGTTGGGTAAGCAGCCATCCAGATGGTAAAGGACACTAGATCAAACCAATTTCCAAGTATATCCTCCAGCTGCAATGCAACTTAATTTCCTATTGGGAGCTAGAACCTGGGTTTTCCACATCTCAATTCAAAACTTTGACTGCTATACAACACTGCCTCTTGGCCGATGGTGCCCACACTACCAAGTGTTCTCCACAGTGACATTTTTCTGACCCTCATCACTGATAGTCTTCCATTGCCACATAACTTGTTTTTTGTTCTAGTCATCTTGATGCATTTTTAAACTAGTCAGCAATCTGAGTTTTACTTGTCCATTGGGGTGCCTGTTGTTTTAATGTAGCACCGCTTGTTTGTATATATTTGTACAGTGGTGCCTCGCTTGAAGAGGATAATTCATTCCGTTCAAATCGCTGTTAAGCAAAATCCTTGTCAAGCGAAATTTAAAAACCCATTGAAATGCATTGAAAACCAGTTCAATGCGTTCCAATGGGTGAAATACCTTCTCGTTTTGTGAAGATCCTCCATAGGGCGGCCATTTTCCAGTGCCTATAAAGTGAGGAATCCGTCCTAAAGCACAGCGGGGGGCCATTTTGCACAGCGGGTGGCCATTTTAGAGCCACCGATCAGCTGTTTTAAAATCATCATCTAGCGAAAAATCAGTTCCCAAAGCAGGGAACTGATCATCGTTAAGCGAATTTTCCCCAAGACCTAACTTCATGGTAAAGCGGTTTCGTCATTTAATGAGGTAAAACTTCATCGTAAAGCGGTTTCGTGTAACGAGGTAATCGTTAAGTGAGGCCCCACTGTATTGTGCTCCTTTCTGTGTGCTTTCAACCTGTCCATAAGAATGCAGCTGGATCTATTTCACTATAGAAGTTAGTAAATTTACGGTACAATCCTATTCAAAATCACATGTAGGATGTGCTTCTTTCTGTGTGCTTTCAACCTGTGCATAAGAATGCAGCTGGATCAATTTCACTATAGAAGTTAGTAAATTTACAGTACAATCCTATTCAAAATCACATGTAGGATTGTTTGTAAACAAAGGCCAGAAAGGCTGATATTAAAATATAAGCAAGGTAAAACAAAGCTAATTTGAAGAGAGAATTCTGCATATTTATTTAATTTATATAGCACGGTGCTTTACAAATATATAAAAGATGCAATGGATGTTTCTTGTTCACAAAAGATTTAAGTGGAAGGGTGAAATGGGCAGCAGGGCAACACTTTTATTTCAAAATCACTCAGACCTCTCCTTTTAATGCTTCATCTCAGATTGAAATAGATGATGGAGAGGAGCTCACCGCTGACTTCCTATATGAAGAAATTCACCCTAAGCAACATGCTCACAAACAGACTTTCGCAAAGCCCAAAGGACCTGCTGGGAAGAGAGGAATCCGAAGGCTGATCAGAGGTCCAGCTGAAACCGAAACCCCTACTGACTAAAGGCAGCAAGTGCACTGGGAAGAAGAGCATTGTGGTGGGAACAGGGAATCAAGAGAAATCCCACCCAAGCCTTTAACGAATAATGAATGCATTCCACACTTGTGTTTTCCAAGAGAAAGTGACTTTCCAGTCTTGTGACTTTCTGCTGCACTTCTCTGGCTATGCCACTATATAGATCTTACAATGTCCACAGCCTGTGGTTGTAATGCATTGTTTCAGAATTAAAACTGTAAGCTTGCAGAATGTTACCCTGTTTCCCTGAAAATAAGACCTAACCTGAAAATAAGCCCTAGTATAATTTTTCAGGATGCTCGTAATATAAGCCCTACCCCAGAAATAAGCCCTAGTTAAGTGAACCCCCGCCCTCCACCATTGTGCAGCAACCAGATGATGATGACATGAGTGTAAAATAAAACATACCCTGAAAGGAAGCCCTAATGCATTTTTGGAGCAAAAAATTAATATAAGACCCTATCCTATTTTCGGGGAAACATGGTAGTGCTAATCAGCGTCTATTAATGGACCCATTAGCCTGTCATTTCTGTAGAATACATATCTGTGCCCCGGATAGCTGAAGTCAGTATGATGATAACAAGGGAGACTGAATTAGGTTTCTGAATGTTTTAAATCAACTCCATTGTATATTTTTCTTGGAGAGCTACTTCCCTGAGATAAAAATAGACAAAAGTGAGCCTGCGCCTCTTCAGTGAATTTTCCCCTCCCTCTAAACTGCAACACTTAATTGTATTGCTGCTTCGTATCATGATTCTAATAGTTTAAGTGGGCACAAATTCATTTGGTCTATTGTTCTAAGTGATCAGGCTGCGTAGCACTGAAATCTAGTTTACTTGCTGCTGGAGAACGACATTAGATTTTGTTATAGCCTTCTGCTAATGCATTTCTTACTTTGACTTTAAAGAGCAACATTTTTAATTTTCTTTTCCCAGAAATTACATGTTAACAAAAGGTTAAGAGCTGTATTGTAAAGAAAAATGTACTTGTTGGAATTATTCTGTAAAAGATGCAATAGGTTGTGAAAGTTGAGTATGAGTTTTCATATCCCAACATTCTGATTTAATTACACAACCAGAGTCACTGTGATGTTACTGATTCTCCTCACTGACACTGTTCAGAAATCAGCAGTTTGTAAGTGTGTCCCAATGCATTTCTAGTATCTGGGGGAAAAATAAAGATGTTTTCAAAGCAACCGTTTTAAAATGTCTAAAATTGTAAAACAGCCAGAGGCCACTTTGTAAATATATTTAATTACTATAAACTCTTCATATAGGTTTAATGCAGTTGGCAAATTATGCAGTAACCATTTGCTTCTGCTAAATAAAAGTTGTGGTTCATGTGAAATACTGCTTCCCCAAAATGCAAACCCTTCATAAAAACACTGTCACAGCTTTCATTAAATTAACCAATTTAGATTAGGACGCCAGATATCTTAAGCATCTGCGAACCTCTGCTGCTGCTGGAACAACAACGTCCCCTATCATATATAAAGCACTGCATAGCAACAAAATATAGCTTGTACCATTTCCCTTAGTATGTCAGCTATTAGCAAGGGATATCTAAAAGAAATCTGCTTAAACCTTTAAAATGCTTTGCAAATTAACTGCTGATTGTAACATGATAGAGCAGGTCTCTGTAATTCCAGCATTAACACTGCAGCAACACAGCATCATTTTTGTGACAGCACCTATTTCTATGATAACTGTCACTATGGCACTGTCATATGGCACTAAAAGAGGACTGAAATTAGCAGTAAAATGTCTGATTTCCCTTTAGGCTCATCTTTTTCCATCTATAAATTGTTTGACAGGTTCCTTGCACTGTTTGATACCACACTGCTCTCCAGCACCAATAATTACCTTATGGCAGTAATGTGGGTTTTTCTTGTTGTTCAGGCTTGTTTATACCAAAGTATTTATATTTGTTTATTAAAGACTTCTAACTCACTCTATATCAATCAGCATTATGCAGATGACAAGAATTTTTACCTTCTATGTTGGTAACCCTGAAACTGGATGAAATCATGGGGCGTAGCCATTACGTATCCAAAATGGAGAAATATTCGTAAGCACATAAAAAAATTTCATTTACAATGAAATCTTGTACAGTGGACCCTCGACTTACAGACGGCTCGACTTACAGACTTTTCGAGTTACAGACTTCTCTGGCTGCAAAATTTAGATTCGACTTGCAGCCAGAGAATCGACTTACAGACCTTTCTAACTCACCCTATATCAGCATTATGCAGAAGAGTTTTTACCTTCTGTGTTGGTAATCCTCAAACTGGGTGAAATCATGGGGCGTAGCCATTACGTATCCAAAATGGAGAAATATTCGTAATGAAATCTTGTACGTGTCTGCTGTGAGGTAATTTTCACTGAGTTCAGCAAGCATTATTCCCAGATAAATGTGTATAGGATTGTAGTCTGAGAGATCTTATGATGAAATAAATAAAAACTGAAATGTACCTTTTATTCCATTTTAAAAAACATACACCAATCGACAGTCCTTCATTACAAGATTCTGCAACTGCTGTGAGGTAAGAATTATTCCCATATAAATGTATATAGGATTGTAGTCTGAGAGATCTTATGATAAAATAAATAAAAACTGAAATGTACCTTTTATTCCATTTTAAAAAACATACACCAATCGACAGTCCTTCATTACAAGATTCTGCAAATATCTGTATTCAATTTAATCATTACAAACAATTGTCTCTTTACTGTTGGAACTACTGTACTGAGCAGCTGAAATTGTTGCTTAATGTAGTAAGTCACAACCACTGAATTAGTGGAGATTTGGTGAGTCAGCTCTTCTCATTCAACAGTTGTACTCTAGTTATGACTTATTACACCAAGCAACAGAATTTCAGATAAAGTGACACCCAATGAGGACCACAAATGTCCCTTAATTATTTGCCAACCTTCTCTCAGTATTAGCTCCCTAAAAGTCTTCATACACGAATAACTGTTATAGCATACATCAAAACACCCTAAAGTTCCAGTGACAGTAGGGGCAAGGGCTATTTGAAATATACAGTGGTGCCTCGCATTAC